CAGGCAGACATTTCAAATTCACCAGCTCTACCCATGACCACAAGTGAGTACGTGAAGTGATGCACACTCACTTACTTTCACAGCACGCTGCTGATTGAGGCCTTTTATCCGAGCATGGGAGCTGCTGGCACCTGAGCCCCAGCTGTGTGGGGCAAGGAGAGCGTGAGTCCCAGGCATGGGGCTGTTGTGACCATTCCTGGGGTGCACATCCCACAGTGCTAAACGGGAGGCATGATGGCTTCCTGCACGGGCTTTATCAATGGGAGAAACCTCTCCGTAGCTGGAAAAAGTGATTAAAGGGGAGAACAACTCTGCTCTGAAATAGGAGCAGTAATTTGGGGGCTCTTGCTTCTTGTAACCATTTCAGGTCATTAAGAAGGAAGCAGTGGTGCTGTGGTCCTGGTGAGAGCAGAGAGCTGGAGGCTGACAGGGCTGTTCAGTGCTGGGAGACACCATCGTAGCATCTGCACAGCAGTGAGTTCTGGAGCCAACTGTAGCTCACAGATAATTTTTGTAGGCGCTGAATAACTCAAAAAATGTTGTAACAAAACTCATCTAAAACTTCTCTTCTGAGAGCCTTTTTTACTTGAATCACATGTACCACACAAGGAGCTTGATGGTCCTCATCTCTTTGCAAACACCCAGCACTAGATGAAAGCCCTGCATACCTTGGTAGAAAATTAGCATTGACCCCTTTGTTTTCTTTTCTTTCTTTTTGATGCTTTAAGCAAGCAGTGAGATTTAGGCAGTGCTTTGTGAACCAGGTGAGCTGCTCAGTGCTGAGCACACAGGTGGCAGCTGAGGCTGTGCAGTGCAATGCCGTGTGTGGGTTGGCTGTTCCTATTACGTGAAATAAATGTATGTGCTGTGCTTCAGCTGCAAATACCAGTTCATCTATGCAAGACACACAGCTTTTAGAGCACTTTGTGAGCACTTGTACAAACACACAGCTTTATTTTAAGCTTTGCTCACATTTATATTGCAACTTACTTAACACTTCTAAAAGAAAAAACAACAAAAACTCTGTGAATGGTAAGGAGCAGTTTTACAGGAACGGCTGGGTTCTTGGCAACGGCAGGATCCTGCAGCACCTCCGGGTCTCATTGGGCCATCTGAGCACGGGGACAGACCTCTCGTGGGTGCCACGCTTGGAGGGGAGCCATGCACCCACATTTGTCTGCTCCTTTCATTCTCCCGAGCACCTGCCAACAGCATTTCTCAAGCTGCAGCATGGGAGAGCTGACAGACCTGGCAGGGTGCTAAGTGATCAAACTGGTGCTAGCTCAGCCCTGGTTAAAGTCATAGACTTGTAGAATCCTTAAGAGTTGGAAGGGACCTTTGAAGCCCATCCAATCCAACTCCCCTGCAGTGCAGAGGGACACCACAGCTCCATGAGGTTGCCCAGGGCCTGATCCAGCCTTGCCTGGAAAGTCTTCAGGGACGGGGCATCAACCACACCACGGGGTCACCTGTGCCAGTGCCTCACCACCCTCATGTAAAGGACTTTTTCCTTGTATCTAGCCTAAATCTACCCTCCTTCAACTTGAAGCCATTTCCCCTTGTTGGTTAGAGGGCATGGTGGGTGTGGGGTGGGGTTGAGTTTGGTGATGGTTGGACTCAGTGATCTTTAAGGTCTTTTCCAACCTGAGTGATTCTATGATTCTGTGATCGTAAGAGGTTTTTTCCAACCTTAGTGGTTCCATGGTTGTATGAACTGTGAGCGCAGCATGGGACGTGGAGTGCTCCCTGCCCAGACTGGTTGCCTGGGGTGCAGGGTGCTGGGAGCTGGCACTGGGTGTTGGGTGCTGCTCTGCTGCTCTGCTGTACCATGCTGCACCGTGCTGTGCTGTGCTGCCTGCTGCTCAGTGCAAGATGGGATGCACTGTCTATGCTCTCTGGGCTTCCCTCTCTGGTCCCTGGAAATACAAAAGAAGGAAGCAGTCCCCAGAGTTGCTCCGAGGTCTGGTGTCCCCCTCCACTTGCAGCAATTCAGCTGCCTCTATGACCAGGCAGCCCTACCAGGAGGATTCTGTCACAGGTCAGTGGCGGTTCTCTGCTTTGTCTGAGGTCACCCTTCCCTCCTCCATCAGATTTTAACTTGTGGGGAAGTTCTGGTCCTAGCTGTAGGTAAGGGACAAGGCAGCTCCCTGTGGGAGCACCACAGTTTCTGTGCCGGCTCCACAAAGTGGCAGAGAGCAGCTGCAGCCTTGTTCCAGCATTGAGTCATTAATTAAGGGTGAAAAACCTTTGGTAGGAAGGGTCTGTGCCTGCTCCCATGACAGCCATGGGAGGCAGCATTTTATTTGCAGTGTCATGTACGCCAGGAGTGATGGAGGGCCGTCGGCACAGCATGTCCCACTGACTGAGCCGGAGAGCTGTGTGATACTGCATCTGCTCTACAGAGGATGGAGGCAGGAGGTTGGAGGGCTTGGTTCCCTCTGGTGTGGGCAGCCCGGGTGCTGGGAAGGGTGCTGGGCAGCATAGGAATGGAGGTCACTGTGTGCAGGCTGTGAATTTGTATCTGCTTCTGACTCTGTGTCAACTGAGTCTTACAGAATTGTCTGAAGCTTTGCCCTCTACAGTGTTAAAATGCACCTTGCTGACTTTGTTTTAATTTTGCCTGCTTCTGAAAACAGTGTTGGCTGAATCTGAGAAGTGCTGAGCACATTTCCTTAATCACAGCTACAAATCTAAATTAGTGGTGTTGTATTAGCAAATCTAAGCGAGGATGGTGTTCCCAAGCCAGGATGACCAGGGCCTCTGGTGGTCGATGGTCTGTTTTGAGTTTGTGTGAACCAAATGTATGGTGAGATAGAAAATCCCATCTAGAACAGTGGCACCTGCTTGGGGAGGTGGCTCCCTGGGGTCCCAGCAGGCTCAGGGGTGTATGGGGCAGGCTACTTCTGCAGGGCTCTGTGATCAGATCAGGTCAGGGTCAGAACTGTCCTGTTTGCACCTGCAGAACCGTGCTGGTGTACAGTGCTGACACAAGAGGTGTGGAATGTAACCCTGCAAATGTATGTAAATGCTGCCCGGGAGATTTGCTTTCTGCTGCAATTAATGCAAAAAATTGTCCCCAGCAGAGGTGCAAAAGGTTTCGTTCTAAAAGTTTACAGCTCCTGACAAGAGCGGGCTGCCTCCCGTGAGGATAACGGGGAAGGGAACCAATTTAATTGGTGCATTTACAGCCCAAGAATGGCCAGTTTTCGCTGAAGGAGTCCCATATAAATTGATGCCGTGTTGGATTGTATAGCACACAAATTGCACTCTCAGCTGGCTGTAAAAAGGAAATTTGTTTTTATATCCTCTTCCAGTTGTCAGATAAATACGGATTGTCTTCAGCAAGTGTTGCTGGCGTGTGACAGACATGGGGTGGATGCTGGGAGTCCCCATCCAGGTGCTGCCATCTCCACGGGGAGGAGCCCCAGGGGGCACCGTGCCTGCCCTGCTGTGCAGTGCTGGAGGGGCAGTAGGGCCACAGGAGTGCAGTGCCTGCAGCCTGCAGCACGTTAGCGTGGATGGATTGACTCATCAGGAAGCCATATGTTGTGGGATTTCACCAGGGGGTTTGGGATGGTTCCCAAAACTACAGGAGTGATAGGCTGTGCCTTCAGTGGTGGATGTAATCATTATTTAAGTTAAAGCTGATGGTTGAAGGCTTCTTTTTTATGTTATTTTATTATTTTTTTTAATGAGGGCTTACTGGTTAGGATCGGTAGTCAGGAAAGGTATTAGCAAAAGAAAAAAATAGTGGTGCTGATAGACAAGTTTTAGGGGCTGGCATCTTCACAACAATTTTCTGCAACTACTTTTTCATGGCATAGATGGATCATGGATGGCAGGACAACAGGAGAAATAATTATTATTTTGACATTAAATATCCATGAAGATTCAAGATTCCAACCCAAACCGTTCTGTGATTCTATGATTCTGTGCTTCTGTGATGTGTCTGTATTCTGTATACGAATAGTTCTGTCAGTCCCAAAGGGAGCTGACTGTTTCATTTCCTTTGTGCAGCCCTGCTGCAGCCAGGTGTTTACTCCTAGAACTCACGGTGTTGCTCAGCTCCTGCCCACATCTCACTTCTTGGAAGGGAGGCAGATGTGGGCTGCAGCTTTGTGTCGGTTCACTGGTGTGTGGAGGCAGGGTGGCAAAGGGGTGCTCAGAAATGGGCCGCGTAGCCCTTGTGGAGTTCTTAACAGAGTTGCTGATAGATGATTGCATTTAACTTCTCTGGGCATGTCTGTTATCTCCCTTGTTTTCATACTCTGTGCAGTTCCTGGATCTAGCAATGTAAAAGATAAGGATAATTGAACTGTCAGAGTTTCTGGGATAGGAGTGCGGTGCTGCTGTGGCATCAGGGGAAACAGCAATGCTCTGAAATTAGCCCATATTCCACTATTATTCAGGTGTCTGTTTTCAGGAGCTTTCTTGATATTTTTTTTTCTTTGTGCACATTATTGTTTTTTGAATGACATAAAATTAGCCCCTTCTGGGTTTACTCTGAAAATAGCATTAAGAGCTTAAATGTTCAGTAGAAATGGTTATAAACCTACTGCGTGATTTAGAGGTCGCTGAGGGTTTCAGCTCAGCAAGTAAAGCGTACGTGAAACATCCCTTTTTCCAGTATGTAAATGGCATAATCATAAAGTAACTCCAGATCATGAGGCCAGAGTGTCAGTTTAAAGCATGGTGGTGGGAATGGTGGTGCTGGATGAGAGGCACCACTGCTGCAATGCACAGAGCCACCAGCACATGGATGTGTATATGTGCATATATGTGTGTGTGTGTGTATGCATACATACAGCAATCTCAGTTGTCCTCCATGTCAGGATATGGACAGTTGCAAGACATCTGGTAATGAGATGAGACAGAAATTCTGTTCTGTGAACCTGTGATTTAATCATAGGCAGTTTTCCTCTGCTTCTGTTATGATTTCTGTTACGATATACTTGCTGATCTTGCAGGCATTAACAGACATTTATTCTTCCTTACAGGCTCGTGAACCTGATCTACAATGGAAAAACTGCTTTTGTTTCTGCTGTTCATTGGCATAGCAGTGAGAGCTCAGATCTGCCCAAAGCGCTGCGTTTGTCAGATTTTGTCTCCAAACCTTGCGACCCTTTGTGCCAAGAAAGGGCTCTTATTTGTTCCACCAAACATTGACAGGAGGACCGTGGAATTACGGCTGGCAGACAACTTTGTTACAAATATCAAGAGGAAAGACTTTGCCAATATGACCAGCCTGGTGGACCTGACGCTGTCCAGGAATACAATCAGTTTTATCACACCTCACGCGTTTGCTGACTTGCGCAATTTGCGGGCTTTGCATTTGAACAGCAACCGATTGACTAAGATCACCAATGACATGTTCAGTGGGCTCTCCAATCTTCATCACTTGATACTTAACAACAACCAGCTGACTCTTATTTCTTCCACAGCTTTTGATGATGTTTTAGCTCTTGAGGAATTGGATTTGTCTTACAACAACCTGGAAACGATCCCCTGGGATGCTGTGGAAAAGATGGTTAGCTTGCACACCCTCAGTCTGGACCACAATATGATTGATCATATTCCTAAGGGGACCTTCTCCCATCTCCACAAGATGACCAGGTTAGACGTCACGTCTAACAAACTGCAGAAGCTACCACCTGACCCTCTCTTTCAGCGAGCTCAGGTACTGGCAACCTCAGGAATTATCAGCCCTTCTACTTTTGCGTTAAGCTTTGGTGGAAACCCTTTGCATTGCAACTGTGAGCTCTTGTGGCTGAGGCGGCTCTCCAGAGAAGACGACCTGGAGACGTGTGCCTCTCCCCAGCTGCTGTCGGGCCGGTACTTCTGGTCGATCCCTGAGGAGGAGTTCCTGTGCGAACCTCCTCTCATTACCAGGCACACCCACGAGCTGAGGGTGCTGGAGGGCCAAAGGGCAGCGCTGAGGTGCAAGGCCCGGGGGGATCCAGAGCCAGCAATTCATTGGATTTCACCTGAGGGCAAACTTATTTCTAACGCAACAAGGTCTGTGGTGTATGACAACGGTACCCTCGACATCCTCATCACAACAGTGAAGGACACGGGCTCTTTCACCTGCATCGCTTCCAACCCAGCAGGGGAAGCCACACAGACGGTGGACCTGCACATAATCAAACTCCCTCACTTGCTGAACAGCACTAACCACATCCACGAGCCTGACCCTGGCTCCTCGGATATCTCAACATCCACCAAGTCAGGCTCCAATGCAAGCAGCAGCAATGGGGATACAAAAGTCAGCCAAGACAAGAAGGTGGTTGTTGCTGAAGCGACATCATCTACTGCTCTGCTGAAATTCAATTTTCAAAGAAACATACCTGGAATACGCATGTTCCAGATCCAGTACAATGGCACTTACGATGACTCTCTGGTGTACAGGTATGGCACGGCCAGCCCAGCCCAGCCCCCCCCTGTTGCTCCACACTGGTTGCTGGTGCAAGCTTTTTGCTGCCCACTCCTCGGAGGGCTGTCAGCCTGCATCTCCTAGCCACAGCCCGGCTCTTGGCTGGTGGAGAGGGTAATGCAGATTGGGAAATGGCTGCGGGTTGGGTTATTTCTAAAGAATCCAAAACAGACCTCTGATCCTCTTTAGTAATCTGATTAGCAGAAGGATTGTGAAGTTAGATGAGCTAAGTGGATCTTAACGCGCTCAGTTTAATGACAGCACGGGGACGGTGCTGCCTGCAAACACATTTCTGCAAGCACACCCTGCTGCCATGGTGGTGATGCTTGGGAGGAGTGAGCATGCGTGGCCTGTGCATTGGGTGGCTTTGTTCTGAGTCTGGGCTGTAACCGTCACACCTTTCAGAACTGTTGTTTTCTTAATTTCATCTACAGTTGCTCTCAGGAAGGGCTTTGTCCAGACAAGCTGTGTGGGGGGAGCGTGGTGCTGCCCGCCGCCAGGGCAGGGCTGCGCTGCCAGGGAAGGGCTGGGAGGGGGCTGCGGCAACACGGGTTTGTTAACGCCGATGTCCTCGCCCCCAGGATGATACCTCCCACGAGCAAAACCTTCCTGGTGAACAACCTGGCTGCTGGGACCATGTACGACCTGTGCGTCTTGGCCATCTACGACGACGGGATCACCTCGCTGACCGCCACCAGGGTGGTGGGCTGCACGCAGTTCACCACCGAGCAGGACTACGTGCGCTGCCACTTCATGCAGTCCCAGTTCCTGGGCGGGACCATGATTATCATCATCGGTGGGATCATCGTGGCCTCGGTGCTCGTGTTCATCATCATCCTCATGATCCGGTACAAGGTGTGCAACAACAACGGGCAGCACAAGGCCACCAAGGTCAGCAACGTTTACTCGCAGACGAATGGGGCCCAGGTGCAGGGCTGCGGCGGGGCGCTGTCCCAGTCTGCCTCCAAGCAGGCGGTGGGGCACGAGGAGGCCGCCCAGTGCTGCCGGGCCGCCGGCGACGGCGCCGGACCCTCGCCGGAGCCCAGCCCTGGCCCGGAGGCCACCACTACCTCGCCCTCTCCTCACGCGTGGGCCGCCGGCGCCTCCGCTGCCCAGAAGCCGAAGCGGAAGCCGGGGCCAAAGCCCAGCAGCGAGCCGCAGAGCGAAGCTGCCACGAGTATCGAGTCCCAAAACACTAACAGAAATAACTCCACTGCTCTGCAGCTAGCTAGCCGTCCCCCCGACTCTGACCAAGGGGTCCCCACGTACAAAAGAGCACAATCCAAGCCAAGTAAGTTCCTCACCTTGCCGGCCACCACGTCCAGAGCCAAGCGCAGGCTGTCACTGGGCGGCGAGCTGCTGCTGTGCCGCTGCCAGCAGGACGCGGGGCTGTGCTCCCGGCGCAGCCTCTCCATGAATGGGATGCTGGCGCAGGCGGGCCGCTCCGGTGCGGAGGGCGGAACAGCGACGTTCTCGAGCTCTGAGTGGATATTGGAAAGCACTGTGTGACCTGCCTTTGGGTTTTTTTTTAAGTTTACCTTTTATTTCTCTGACAAACAAAATGCCAAACGTTGTGTGAAGTTCCCTCTCCTGGGGAATTGGATTCGGAAGTCCACTGTTGTCTCACTGAGTGATGGTTTGTCCATGCGGGGTTCTCTATAAGCCACCCAGTGCACACGGGGTTTTGTTTAGTTTCCATTTGGTTTTATTTAGTATCCAAACAGAAGGCAACATTCAGAGTTTAAAAAGAAAAAAAAAGGGAAAAAAAAAAAAAGGTTAAGGGGTGAAAAAAAGCATGAAACAGCACCAGTGCCTTCCCTGCTCTAGGACTGGCTTCCTGGTTCTGCGGTAGCAGAAAACGCAAGAGAGAGTTTTCACAGAAAAAGCCTTTTATAAAGGAAATGAAATTTCCTCCAAGCTAACAAATAACCACTTCTGGATCAATCAGTAAAATGATATTTTTTAAAATGGTCAGACTGTATATTTCTTTTCCGTGATAATGGTGTTGCCTTTGTTTTTAGGCAGATGCTGTACAGAAACAACAACGCTGTGTTGTTCTCTTGTGTAAAATAAAATACTCACTCGGTACACCCAGCCAGCCTGGCAGTGACTGCCCGGGGCGCCCAGCAGTGTGCAGGGGATGCTGCTCCCTTCCTGTCCCCCGCCGCAGTATCGGTGCCACAGCTGGGAACCCCTTCCAACAGGACCGGCGCCTGATCGGTGGCTCCCTGCTTTGCGATGTGGAAATGGAATGTGTTGAGCTCCTGTGTGTGCCAGCACCTCGAGACAGCGGGGAGTGAGGGGCAGCAGTGGGCAGAGGCAAGGGCAGCGCTGGGGGCAGTAACCTCGCTCATTCCAGGCTTGCAGGGGCCTATCTCCTGTAGGCACTGTGGTTTGCATCTGTAGTCCCTGCGCACAGCGGGGTGGCTGGGAGATGTTCGCACCTTAACAGTGATGTGCTGCTTGGCTCCGTGCCCCTGGGACGCTGTCAGGCCACGGTGTCGGCCTTGAGCATATGGCAATAGGTGGTAACAGCTCAGACACCCCTGTTGTGAGGGTGAGAAATGTACTTCTGCTGCTCTGCTCATTCTGAAGAAAATTTGAAAATTAATACTAATCAAACTCATATGGTCATCACATTTAAATCAAAGGCAGCTTAACTGAGCCGTCTCAGCGCATTCTCAGATGCTAAACGCTGTTTTTTATATGGGCTTTGAGACCACTAAAGCGATAGAACAGTTAAATTTTACACCCTGCGTGCTTGTGCTTGAAGGAAGCACAGCCCAGCAGCTGTGTGCAGGTGCTCTGGCTCTCAGGCACACACACACATGCAGTGCTGGGCCCCAGGGCCGGTGTGGGAGAGTTGTCTCCTGCAGGGCATTGCGCTCAGGGCTGGGTGTGCAGAGCCTGCAGGTCGTGGTTGTGCTTTGCTCCAGCGGCTGCAGGAGCCGGGAACTGGAGGCGGGCTGGAAAGCACAGGGAAGGAAGAGGCTGTTTCTTTTTTAGAAAGCCCTTTTTCTTCCCTTTGGAAGTACAGAGACCAGAAAGGAAATGAAGCACCAAAATTAGAACTGCCCGTTTCCTGCTGGAAAAGCTAAAAAGAAATCCCTCCAGATTTCTCTGGAAGACCGCAGTCTTCTAGAGGGGGGCATACGGACAGAAATAGGCTCACAGCGCACCGCCAGAGTCCAAGTTATGGAAGGTTGAAAGTGAAGGCATGGTGAAGCTGGGCAAAGGGGGGTAATGGTCCTTGGAGGAGCTGGATGTCTGCAGCCGGTACCTTCACCTTACGATGGGTAAGGAGGCACCTTTCCGTGTGCTCTGCTGAGGTACTTGTCCTAATTGTGCGTTTTGAAAACATCAAATGGAAATGCTTTGTGTGTTGTCTAAAACTGGACGCGTGTCTGATGTCTTGTGAAAGTGCTGAACTGTTCATAGCTTCGGGGGGGGGGGTTATTTTTATATTTTTCATTTCTTACTCAAAGGAATCGATTTTCTAAATGCTGAAGCTGAGTAATCTATCTGCAGTACGTTTGTATAAGCAGCTTAGAAGGACCATATGTCACCGTGTTTTGTTTAACTCTGCGCTAACATTGCAGACCTGGGTGGCTTTAGGGCTCTGCTCACATCGGAGAGGAGCATCCCCTGGGTGTGCACGGGGTGTTGGTTCTGTGCCATCGCCACAGGGGTGAACATACAGCGGGATGTTCAGGCCTGGTTCATTCCAAGTGTGGGAAGCCTTGGAAAGGGGGAAATCTGTCCTTTCTGTTCTGCAAAACCAGAGCTGTAGCAGATAGATGCAGAAAAAAGTGCCAAGGTATCTTTTGATCAGAAGAGTGACACTGAAATATTTGTTCAGTGATGTGCTGGAAGTTTTCTAATTCTTTGGAAACCAAAACACTCATGTAAGAATCCCAGATGTGGCTTTACCCCATTGTGGTCACACAGTACTGTCATGCAGGGAAGGCCTTGGGGAGGGGAGTGGGCAGCCAGGAGCTGCTGTCCTTGAGATGAGCCCCTTTGGGCTGCACGAGTGAGTGTGCAGCACCCTGATGTAGTGTGCAGCACCCCAAGGCAGTGTGCAGCATCCTGACCAGCACCCTGCTGCTCGTGCTCTATGAAAACAGTCACCAACACTTTGGTTGTGGGAGGGTCTCTGTGTTTCACAAGCACCAGGCAAGGAGAAGAAAATTCAGAAATTCATTTATTTGTACTGAGATTTCTGACACACGCTTTCTCTTACGTATTTCTTAAATCCACTCCTAACCCTTTTTCGAAAACACACTCGTTCTGTTAAAGAGGGCTGCTTCAAGTTATGTTTGGATGGAGAAGCAGGGTTTTGTTGGGTGAAAAGCTGGTTGTGTTAGTTGTTCTCTGTGCTGCCTTTCTGCTGATGTTCTGGGCATGTTCTTGACGGTGAATATATGGTACTGTTCAGTTCTGGGTGCAAATGTGGCTTTATTTCTGCCAACGTGCTCTGGTTGCTGGAAACCTCTCCCCAGGCACCAGTGCAGATCTGCAGTAATGAGCAAAAGAGGCGTTGGGGCATGGGGACGAGTGTGGGGCGGGCGATGCCCCCAGTGCTGCAGAGCAGTGCTGTCCCACGGGGGCTTTGCTGTGTGTCACCATAGGGACGCATCCCACAGAGCCCTGCAGGAGCAGCAGGTGATGGCAGGGCCCATTCCCATTCTCCTGTGGTGAAGCCCCTCCAGCAGTCGTGTGTGGAGCAGTGCCAGCGCCGGGCCCAGTGGTTTCCTGCAGCCATCACTGACCCTGTGGAGCTGCTGGGGGCTGAGCTCTGCTCCGTGCAGCACAGAGATGTTGGCATTTCTCAGAGTACACCAGAACTTTGCTGGTCACCACCTTGTGCCTGTGTGTTGCAGTTCTGAGTCACGTCAGCCCAAGCTGTGGTGGATGACAGTTCTGTCACAGCCAGCTGTCCCTGTGTCTGTGTGTCCTGCAGCCGCCTGTCCCCGTGTCCCACTGCTGCCAGCAAATGCTGCTCACGTATCCTTGAAGAAGCACAGCGTGGCTCTTCCTGCACCATCTGCAAATGCACCCCGAGCTGCAGCAGGCGCTATGCAGAGAGGCAGTGGGGGTTTATCCTCAGTGATTGACCCAACAAGCAGAAGTAATGTCACAGCTGCTGTCATTTACTACTGCTTCTCACTAATTGGGAGAAACTGGAGCCTTGGAGGTACTGCTTGCAGAGTGGCAGCATTTGTCAGACTTACAATATCTCAAGAAAACGTACTGTCCTGTTCCTTTAAGGTGCTGTTGTAACAAGTGATGTGCGCTCACTCTCTAAAAGGAACAATAGCAGCTGTAACAGAGTAACACAATGCTTCTCCCATGGTAATTTAGGAAGTAATTTTAAGGTAGGTCAAAGTTCTGGTTTGAAAAAAAAAAAACAACAAATCACAGCAAGATCAATAGGGTCCTGCTTACTGAAACCATGCATCCAATGCTTTCTCTTTGAAGACATTTTTCTGCATGCCTTTTAGTTCAGTACTGGCTGTGACACAGATACAAGGATTGCACTGAGCTGCCCCTGCACTTGCTGAGTGCTGCAGCAGCATCTCCTGCCCTCTGTGCAGATGCACAAGCGTGCTCTTTTGTTACAGTGTGATGCAGGTGGCCGCATACCATCATTGTAAAGGAAAATGGTCTTCCTGTACGCAGAAACCCTTTTCCTCTATGAAACTAACGTTAGCAGCCAGAGCATCAGTGCTTTGCTAAAAGAGCATCAGCACCGTGGCTGTGCTGCCTCACCTGTGCAGGGTGCCTGCACCCACAGTGGCAGCCCCAGGTAAGTATTGCACTGCAGCACTGTCACCGCTGGCACATCCCCAGGGCACGCAGGAACAGCAGCACTGCAGGGCAGGCGGGGACAGTGGCTCTAGGCCTGCTGCCAAGCTGTGCTGCACTGTGCATGCATGCTCTGAATGTTGGACAAAGGCAGCGCTGGAAATAAGAACAAATGTGCCGTATTCTGTTTCTGCTTGGATGTGGTCGTGGCGTTGCTTTCATGGCAGCATGGATGGGACACAAGTGTGCAGGGTATGGGGTCTGGAATGGGTTAAAGCACCCACACTTTGCATCAGTAATGTGAGCCAAAAGGCAAAGCTTTCTGATCTTGCTGATAGTGAGTGCTAATGCCATTGATTTATTCACAAGAGCCAGGCTTGAAGGCTGATGCTGTGGCAAAAAGGAAGCTTAGCTTGCAAGGAAAGAATCTAAAAAAGAAAAAAGCAAATGTGGCAAATTGTTGGCTGCAGAGAGACGAGATTGAAGCTTTGTCTGTATGAAAATAAACAGAACAAGCTCTACTGCCTCTGTCATGCTGGAACAAGCCACGTCTGCCAGGTCATTCGAAGTTGTTACTCGGTTAGTATCAGCCTTCAGATTGCTGACAGCTGATATCAGTTCATGTGGATTGTTACCAGTCTGCCGGCAGGGACAGGTCAGTACTGGCTCAGTGCTGACCCGGGACTTCCAGCGTCTGGGAAGGGCTGGTGGCACCTCTGGGTCCCCCTGGCCTGCAGAGCCCTGCAGGGCCCCTCAGGAGTGGTGCTGAGATGGAGAATGGTGGCGTTCCTCTGTTTCTGCCTCCGTTGGTACCCAGAGTGAGGCAGGCAAGGAGAATGTTCACTGTGCACTGTGTATGGGGTGCACACACCTGCTGGGAGCTGCTGGGGCTGTTAGTGATGTGGAGATGCTGCCACAGCACGTCCTGATACTGTGGAGCCACACAGGCAACTGCTGAGTGCAGCGCGTTCTGGGCACAGAGCAGCACTGCAGCCCAGGGGAGCGTGGGACCTGGAGCTGCCTGGGTCTCCCTGCATCATGGGGATGTGTGCATGTGCCTATCTTGCACGGGAATTCAGTTTGGACAGGAAAATGAGAAAAAGAGTCATGGTTCCAGTGCAGCTCCCTTCTCCCCATGCTCACTTGGGCAGAGGGTGGTGGGCAGGGAGTCCTGCAGGCCCCGGTGCATGGCTGCAAACAGCTGGAGAGCTGTGTCCTGCAGCAAGCCATGGCCACATTTTGTGGTTTGCTTCCAGTGCTGAGAGGTAAGTGGGGCCGCGGGGCCGGCAGCAGCGAGGTGCAGGGCTGCAGTCACTCAGTGGAGCTGCAGGTCCCCACACTCCCATGGGACAAGACCAACAGTGTGGCTGCTCAGGGACAGATGGGCACACGCTACACGTTCTGTGCATGGTGACTTTTCACTTGCATGTAAGGCTGGCAAGGGCCAACGCTGGGCTCGTGCCCATCCACTGCTTCATGTTGGTATTTCACCTCTGTGCCACTTCCAATACTGCACAAAGAGGTGAAAACACTGTCGTAGAAAAGGGCTTTGCCTGTGGGGAGTCAGGAGTTCTCTAATTCTGGAGAACTGAATGTTCCCATTCCTTGCCATGGGTGTTGCTGTCCCTCTGTCCGTCCGTCTGTCTGTGTCAGTCATTCTGTCTGGAGGTTGCAGCACGGCGCTGGGCACTGTGGGTTACCCTCACTGTCTCTGTTCTCTCTTTGCACAGAAGCTGGGGCTGACCTGAAGGACACCCACACTGCTCCACTCCCTGAAAGCAGTTGCCCCAATGTGGTTATGCGGCAGAAAACAAAGCGATCCCAGTGCACCAAGGATTGATGCCACACCGTGCTCACACTGCCCAGACAATTTCTTCAAGTCACAGCTGAGGCCAGGAGGCTGTGGAGGTCGGCAGTGTTGGACAAACATTCCTTCCCAGCTCACAGATTCCCCATCTTCCA